GTGTGGTGGGGGGGGGGGGGGGGATGGGGGTGGGAGTGGGGGGGTGTTACTTGGGAATCACCAAGCAAATGCACACAAAATGAATTAAAGATATGGTGGGGTATGGAGAGTTGATTGCGTACGGTTCTCTGTGCTCTCCTATTGGATGGCTGGAAGAACAAATTGATTGGCTTGTGATGTTCTCAGACTTTTGAGAATGGCACCAAATGGCAATGAAGATGATCACATTAGTCTCTTTCAAACTGCTGAGCGGGATGGGAAGCAGCCTAGGGCAGTAGTTATCAAACTATATTTTGGGCTGGAAAACATATTTTAGTTTCTGATGTCCACCAGATGAGTTGGACCAACTATGAGGTTGGGTTCTGGAAATTGTACCCCAATATCTCTGGGGGGGGGGAGGGGATGCAATGGGGAAGGCTACTCTGAGTCATCAAATATTGCCAGGTGTAGCTTCAAATCTCTGCAAGAAACAAGTACTGGTCCCTGTTACTTATCTGGGGGCATCTTCCTGGCTTCCTTTGGCACAAAACTTCACCATCCAAACAAGAGGAAACCAGAGTCTGGCATGATGGAAAGTACTCAGCAATGGTGTTGATTTGACCAGTGGGGGCTCAATTCACTTCCTGAAGCTGGGATAAAGCCAGTATGTGATTGATTGATTGATTGATTGATTGATTGATTGCTCTCCAGGGGTCAAGAAGAAGCCTGAGAATGGCTTGGAATGTGCCAGTTGCTGTGATTCAGGCCAAGGTGAATGTGCCCATGGAAACTGGACTCATGTCAAGTGTGTTGGGGATCAGAACATGTGTGTGAATGTCACAGGTGAGTTGTGTGGGCATATTTATAGGTGGGTAAAGGATGAAATTGGAGCCACACCCACAATTCTCTTCCCTGAGAGAAAAACGGGCTGCGAAAGAACAGGGAAGGCAGGCCCTGCCCAAAAGATATGTCCCCAAAAGACTTTTATGAGACAGTTCTGTAAGTTCTGTCAAATTCAGTGAAGCTGGATAAGTAACTGGATATTACAGCCTTTCCTAAACTGGAACCTTCTAGATATTCAGAGCAGCAATTCCCAGAATTTCCATCCAAGGTTTTAGGAAATCTGGAATTGCAGTCCCAACACATCTGGAGGGTTGCAGTTGGGAGAAGGTTGGGCTATTGATTGTGGTTTTAGAGATTCCTTCATATTTATGTTAGATGTACGTATGCATCTTGTTAATGCAGAAAAGAAAGTGGTAGATGACAATGTAAAGCAGGCAATGTTGTTTTCATATCTGAACTACAAAAATGGGATAACATAAAAATAGGAGAATCTAATAACAATAGATCATGGTTATTCATGTACCCCTTCTGTTCCCTACACAACTGTGTTACCAAATTTCATGCTTCCTAAATAAGACCTCCAGTGAAAATATCTCACATTTGAAGCAATAAACATTTCCAAAAGCCTCTGTATTTATTAAATTCAAGAACTGTGTCAAAAATCTGAATGATGACTCCTAGGAACAAAATTTGCATTGCAAGAGTTTTTCCTCCCTGTGGATGGGCACGTCTTTAGCATCAGGAATCGGATGAGTGAGCACATTTCTGTTATGCAGATACGTGCATTTGTGAACTCAGGTTTTATTTGTTTATTTATTTATCAATCTCATTATAGATCACAGTAATCCCGAGACTCTTGATGGTTCACACAAATAAAAAGCACACTAAATGGTTCATAACAAAAGTACATAATTAAAAGGTCTGCAAAACAATGAGATAAGGATAGAACACAACTGTAGAAACAAACCCAACCTATGACCCAGCCAAGGTGATACCGTGGTCCACGTGCCCTTCAGAAGACTTGTTTTCAGCTGCTTTTGGAAGGCAGTCAAAGCAGAAACCAATTGGACGTCCACTTTCAAAGAACTGGTGCTGCCACTGAAAAGCAGCCCCACTGAGCCTCAGCCCCCCTCACCTCCTAAGGTGGAACCACTAGAAGGCTTCTCTCAGGTAGATCAAACTAGCTGGCCAGTTCCATTGGCAGAATGA